ATGCTGCACCAGCTTCTCAAAGAAGCTAATAAGTTTCAAAATTGGCAGCCCATCCCGCACGTCACATTGCCTTTTAAAAGCCACACCACCATATTTGTACAATTTGAGTGACAAAGTCAAAAGAATTGATTTGTAGGCCAAAGAAAAATCAAATCATGATATAAGTCAAGTGTTCCCAACATTTTCCACTAAAAATTATATCCTTGTTGCTGACCTTGGTTGGATTTACTTTTTGTTGTATTGTTGTGCTTTTTTGTGGTTTCTTAATAAAATTTAGGGTTTGTCCAATATAGATCCCTACAATTTTTATTTCCTAGACATAGACCCATCATTCTATAAATCTATGTGTAAAACCCAATTTAAAACTTAAATGACCAGTAAAATATAAGAGGTCATAATATTCCTATGTTTTTACGTCGTTGCCATCAGACTTCATATTTTATTTATAATGTATTCCAAACATTTCATTAACTGCCATAATTATAATTAAAACTCCGTATTAATACCTAAAATGCAAGTTAAATATAAAAGGGATGTAAAAACCATAGAAGTTAGGCAAGGAAGTTTAAAGTGCAGTAATTTGCAGACAGAGAAAACTTTTATCTTGATGTGAATGGGAAAAGTTTGGCTTATGTTTCTTATGTTTCACAATTCAGATTCACTATATACAATTTTTTGTTTAATTCACAAAAAAAGAAAAAAAGAAATTGTTGTTTTGCAATTGTTTTTGGATGTCTACCGTATATGTAATATAATATAGTATGAAGAATAGACGAAGAAGAAACTGAATGAAGAATCAAGGAAGAACTGCACTCACTGTTTGACTAGGAAGCAATATGTCTCCAAACGTATGTACAAAGATTCCCAATCTAATAAGGTTTTCTTTCTTAGGTTTATGTGAGTTTTAAATTTGAGGACATTTGTGTTTATTTAGATGAGTTTTTTGGCATATTTGAAATATTTTACAAAAACTGACATTTTCTAAATTAGGGGTCAAGTTTTGGCTATTTTTGATAAATTCTGGGATGAAAGATTTCCTTATTACTATATGCTTCCTAGAGTTGCTGTTCTAACTTCTATCCCTAGTTTTCTCAGTATAAATATTATAATACATGCTTTGTAATTGAGACTTGGATGGATTTTATCTGCCCTATAATTAATTCTATCTTTTAAACCCTAATCTCTCATTCTCTTCTTCTACCTATTCTGCTTATTCTGTCTATCATTTCTTTCTCTAATCATCATCTGGTATATCGATCAGAGTCTCCCTCCTTATATCATCGAGCGTCGGAATAATAATAAATCCAAAGTTTTGGCGGCCTAGGCGGAATAAGTTCTGTCATAATCATCCCCTTCAGAGTACGCTAGGATTTGCTCTAGCTTATACTTACTTCAACAGGATGGTCTCGGTGTGAATTAGGGCAGTAATATCATGCATTCCTCCTCCCATATCATCTAAGGCATTTGTGTTGATGGCTCATACCATTACTGTGAGCCGAGCCCCTTAGATGGTACTATACGACGCGAGATGTCGACACCTTCATACCGAGCCGAGCATGTACAAGTACCCTCTATCTCAAACAAGTAAGCCCCACAGGAGAAGTATGGTGAATCAAGGGCTAGACCAATGATCTGGTGGTCAGGAACAGACTCGACCATTATGGCACCGTGGTCAACTAAAGATGCATTAAATGGAACAGCCTGGCAAACAAGAAAGGTCGGTTCTTACACATCCCATCCTTAAACAAGTGTCGCCTTACCCTTTGGTCTCCGAATGAATAGGCTAGCGATGGAGAGGGATCATTTAATACACCTCCCATCCTTATCCACCTGTCACTTCACCACCTGATCCTTATCAGAAAGTAGGATAGTCAGAAACAAAACCATAAATGTAACTCAACTCAAGGGGATAGGAAAAAAGATATCTTTCGTAAAATATCTTGGTTCCTCCTTCCCCCCCTTATAAATACCCCCAACTTATCTCTGGACAAAGGTGATAAATATTTTCTCATTATGAAAACCCTACATCCATTCTCCCCCCAGCTTAAGTTAAATTCTGACTTAACCATCGGAGAGGGCTCAATTGGGATCAACCCCAGTTCGCTCTTGTTCTGATACTGTTCTAAGTGTGCAGATCATCCCTTGGAGATAACTCACCTTCAGGGTCAGATACAAGTCTGGGCCCCTGCCCAGATCCAAGTCACTCATACGAGAAGGATACGTGGTTTACAATTTGCAACTGTTGTGTCTGCTTATGATAAATTGTATTATCTTGCATCTCTATGCAACCTATCATATCTGGATAATCCAAGCTTTGAGAGATATGATTCCAATCAGAAGGTTTGGGAGCCAAAGCCTCCTTTTCTGTTTTATGATGATACACTACTCTCCTTCATGGAAATAATTGATTATGTCGTTTGTTATGGTGTTATTTTGTTTTCATTTTCTAGCCCCAAGAACTACACACTCTGCTTTTCGTAAGAGCAGAAAGGGAAAAAAATGGAATCAAGTAAAAGTTGACACTTCTACTTATACTCCTTTCAAAGGGAGGGCAGTGATTGCAGGCAAGACAATATATGCTTTACATGGGCTGAGCAATGAGGAGATTATAGCATACTCCTTTAGAATGCATAAAGATGATGACGATGGTGTTGCATATTTACTAAGCAAATTGTTTCAATTGCAAGGCCTAAAGATTGCCCATCCGCCGTTGCCATTTTATGTTCTTATTACAGAAGCTTGACTGTTTTCATGTCATCATGACTGGCAGTTGCAACATTGCACCACGCGAGGTTTAGTATCTTTGTATGACCACATTTTGAATTGTTGTTGGAGAAGGAGGAAACATTTGATCAAGACTCTGCATTCAACAATTTGTTTTGTAAATATCAAGGGCCATGATTAGTTCACGCTCCAGTTATACTTCGCACCGTAAGTTTCCTTTACGTTTCTTGTGTTTTTTTTTAATCAATATCATTAATTACTCAATTACATATTGTATGTAACAAAACCCTGGCTTATTATTATTATTATTATGTCTCAGTCATTGCCAGGATTATGAACCCAGAGAGAACTTCTGTCTAGCATGAAGTAGCACCCAAAACAAGAAGAAGAAATCACGTGTTCGAATGGTTCATTTCGTCTCTGTTTCCGTTTTAGTTCCCATCCCATCGACTTCTGGAAAATGTAATGCTTTTGCGTTTAAATTCAAGACATGCTGAACATTTATGTAAATTGATAGACTGACGACTGTTTACTATTAGAAAAACAAAACCCTGCATTTTGTAAGATTATCAAATTTGCACCAGCAACATGATCATCTGTAATCAAGCTGTGTTGGACAGATGGATACAGAAATTTTGACAAGTTTGAGTGGAGATTGAATTAGCAAGAGCTCTTGAACATTTTGTTTATGTATTTTTCATGTATATTTTCGTAAGGCAGGTCCACAAGGCAACACATTCCCCATCATAGCTTCAGAACAAGAACAACAAGTAATTGCTTCTAATGGGGCCTGCTTTCTTCTCTAACTCAGAGACCTTGCAGTGCGTGCCATTTCTAACAACTGATTTGCAGCAGGTCATCCAATGACCGCAGACTAAAATGGTCACGCCCTTCCTTCAGTCACAGACTTTCTTTATAGCTTGCCATCTACTCCTAATTTACACCTTTATACTTTTTAGTCTCAACGTGTTATGATATGAGTGAACGAAAAATTGATATTAATAAATCACGTGACGATGATGCGGTCATATGAAAAAATATATATATACAGAATGCAGAGTGCGGCTGCGCATTATGATATTATCTCTCAGATTCCAAGGTCAAAAATAGAATATCAATTATCATGGATTAGTAATGGTCAATGGGTTTAAAGCAACAAGTTAGCTTTGCAAGATCACACTGGTCATCAATGGTCCAGGGTACGAACCGACAAATCACATTCCTATCCCATGCCTTGGTTATGGCAGAGAAATATGGACCCAACGATATATACGTTTCATGAATGTGGCTGATCTTCTTCATCATTACTTGAACCCTTTCTCGAATTTTTAATCAAAATTTGGCCTAAAATAAGAAATACAAAGGTATTCGAACCTGCACCTATCCTAATCCTAACCCAATACCCGATCATTCCTCGTCACTTGGACTAACCTCAAGGCTCTTTTTATATAAAAAAATGCAATTATTCTCGGACATATTTTAGTTTTTTTTTTTCCTTCCAAAATTCCATTGTTTCCAAGCCTGACTAGCCAAAGGAATAGGAAAGAAAAGGGCAAAGGAAAAAAAAAATTATGAACAAATGTGAAGTAGTTGGGAGCATCGCAGTTGGAAAATGTGTCCAGGTAGGATTTGGAAGGCCAAAGATATGTAGGCTTTATAATTATAAACCCTTGGGATGAAAGCAAAGTTTCACTTTTTTTTTAAATTTTTATATGTTATCCCCTTTTGGTGAAACTTTTTAATATACATAGTGGAGAAAAGCTTATCAACTTTTTTGTTTTGGGTAGTTAAATAGCTTCTTTTTAAGGGCATGTGGCAAGTCCAGAAATCACAAACTCCGTCCGCAAAGTAGGTTGGCTTGAACTTGAAGAGAAGAAGCTTACGACTTACTTCTCTTATTTGTCTGCCATCATCGATCATCATGATCCTCAATTTAGGGGTTACAGTACAAAGCAGCTTGGCATGTAGAGATGCTTATGTTGTTTTCTCTTTGGCGATATCCTTTCTCCCTTCTTTTTCAAACAAATTTATTATTTTTTACACTACCTACTGAGACTGCGAGGAACCCATAGTTCAGTTATTTTCATTTTAATTTGTAGATTATGAACCAAACGATGGACTAATATCGGCATTTCAGCCCTACGTTGGGCCACATTAACCCTTCTAACATAGCCCCTTATTATATATTAGAAGCTCCCATTGGCACAAGGGTATGAAACAGCAAATTTAGTTATGACAACATGATAAGCGCAGAGAAGGAGAAATTACTAACTCGATTTGCAAACCCTCACAAGGAGAAAAAGAAGTGGATTTGATTACACGAAAAAATGGAGTGATCCGTAATACAATCCCATAATTATACAGCGGATTCTAGTTCTTCAGATACAGAGAGAGAGAGAGAGAGAGAGAGAGAGAGAGAGATTCTACAGTTTGCACTCGAATTTCATGTAAAGAAAAAGTATAAAAAAGAAAAAAAGAATTGATATATAATATAAGCAACAATCTGACGGCAGCATCTATCATGAAGAGGTGTCAAAATCTGCAGCAGATTTATGATTACTAGAAACTGAGATGGGCTGATCGATCTCCTTACGGGATGCTTCCCAAAGTTGCTGTTCTATCCCCAGCTTCCTCAGCTCATATAAACCACGCTCCACTGCCACATGTTCAGACCAGTAACCACATTAAAGAAAAATTAAAATTAAAATTAAGGACAGAATTAATCTATTTTTATTTCTCCTTCTGTTGCCAATCAAGGTCATGGCATCACCCGATTCTCTACCGACTGATAAGGTTACCAAGAGCATAGCATATGCATGCACAAAATTAATGGCTTCGTTGGTAGACCAACATTAAGAAGAATGTGTCTACAATTGAAAGCAATAGTGGCCAAGCTGGCCTTATGAGTGGCACTGTTGATTACGATGAAGCTTACCATCCACGGCATCGTGGCAAGTTGGTGTCTGTGCACTGCGGCTTATCCAAAGCTGAAGCCTGTCTTCTCCGATGTCCTCCTCCACACCATGTTCTTTAGCTCTTCTCCAAAAGTAAGTGAGCCAAGCCTGCAACATCAATAGAGTGTTGAAGAACATGTGCACTGACATTGTTTAATATCTTGTTTATACTTTTAGTACAAATAATAGATATCATAACAGAAAGGGACAAGATGTGGCTTTTTGTATATTGAAGGGGGCAAAGCAACTGACCACTTTGAAAGAAATATCTTCAACCTCTTCTTCACTAAGATCTGTAAGAAAAAGAAGAAGAAGGGAATATAAGATTACCACATTAACTTATCATCACTTCAAATCTATCTTTAAACTTGGTGTGTCAAGAATGCTACATAACTGTGTGATTCTACCGCATGAACTAACTTCACAACGGTTTTGAACTATTTGCTTGGTCCTATATATCCACCCAAATACAGTGTGCTTTACATCACTTTTGGGTAGGGCAGGTTGAATAATATAAAAGGTCTCATAATATTATAAAACATTCTCACATGCAAAAGTATTCCGTAAGAAAACTTTCCCCATTTATTTTCCTATACCAAAAATTATTAGAATTCTAAAAGAAAAAATTGAAAAAAATGTTCCACTAACAAATTTTGACTTAAAGTCAAGGTCACATTTCCTAGTCAACCATAAGCCTTCACCTAAACCCATCCCAAAAACAAAATGCACACAATTATGCAAATCACAAGTTACAAGGAAAGTTGTCCTGAAAGATGGATGCTTTCTGAATTAATACAATTAGTTTTTCATATGATTAATGATTGTGTGCATTGATATTCCGAAATCTTAGCGATACAACGTATAACAGATCAAAGTATCTCTCTTACCAAATGCCTCCATAAATTTTGGGTCACCAGGTGATTTGGAATCTGAAATTCAAACAAGAAGAAAGGTAAGCATTGTTGTGAAATTCTTTCTGCTCCAGTCCTTAACAAAAACCTTGCACAACTCTAGGATAACCAGCATGAAAAAGCTTGATAGTAAGAATAAAATATTGCGCCACACAGCATTTGAACCAATTAAGCATATGGATGCAACTGTCATAAGATCTTACCAAAATACCATAATGATATTGAAGACCAATTAATTATAATGTCAGGGAATTGTTATAGTTTATAATCTAGAAAATGAAAAGAAATAAGTACAGAGAATATGGGTAAGAGAATCAACTAAGTAAAGCCATTTTCTCCATAACATCTTCAAGTCATCATATCAAGAAGGTAACATCTAGTTCAATGCAGATTTTCACATCAAAAATATTTTACCGGGGCATGAAAACTCTAGAATAACATGACACAATAAAGAAAAATACCTAAACCAGACTGCCGAACAGAATTTGGACGTCTACGTTGGGCCAATGCAAGCGCAACAGCATCCTCAACCTAAACAGAACAGTGATACAGTGCAAAAATTAGAAGTCAAAAACAGGATAAAGTCAAACAGAATTTCATATAAATATATATATATATATTTTGAAGAGATAATTTTGAAGAGAAATAAAAATATTAATATGTCACACATTAGGAACAGACCTTTAGAGAAGCTAATTCCCTCAAACCCATCTCCACTGAAAGCATACTCTCAATATTTCCTTCGCCAGTGAGGTCACTTAAATCCCGAACTATCTTACTTCTATCTGGGTCATCACTACCTGGTAGATGTCATACAAGACAAAAGCTTAATTGAGTGCATGAAATGAAAAATAAAATCAGATAAAGAGATAACAACATCATTGTCTTTGATATACCTCTATCCCAAGAATCTTCCTTTGCCTTTTGTCCAGCAGAAATGACGACTTCAAACGGAAGAGGAGCTAAAGATGACCAATGCTCATGCTTCGACAAGGCTATATCTGCACATATGCCTAAAAAGCAGCAAAGCAAACAGCATATAAAGTAAAATGTTTGTAAATGAATTATAAATCTAAGTCTCCATTCATTCAAATCCAAATTCACATATACATAGATCTAAACATACTTCATAGGACACCTTCTTGATGTTATAACTAAAACGGGATACACAATGTTAAAATTCAAATACCCAATACAGAGAAAATCATCAAGCTGCGATATCAGATTTAAGCATGCAATCTATATCCTTATTCAAGAAGGGGAAGATGGTAGCAAATTGAATACCATACTGCACTGCTAAACCCCAATAGCGAGCAAGCCAACATCTCTTCAGAACAACTTCCTCCTAAAAGACAGATACAGAAATAAACTTAAGAGTGTGAAACGGTAAAAGTAAATCTCACTTGAGTATCAGAAGACAAACCATCTCTTCTTGCGTTAAAATCATTCTTTGTGTCTTTGAGCGAAGAGACTTTGCTTCAGATTCTGCTTCTCGGAGATGCTCGACTGCTGCTGCAGCACCATCTTTTAAGTTCTGATTTTTACAAAAGAATAAACTCATGAAGCTATCACATAAATCAGAAACACTTGATTGAGATCTAAAGAGTTTACCTCAATTTCTGAACGAAGAGTTGCAATTTCCTCATCTTTCCCATCCTTGTTTTGTTTCGCAGCGATGAGAGCAGCCTGTAACAATCAATGTTTTTCAGTCTAAAAAATGCCGCAGATAATCTCATTTTAACATAAAATGTTTCAATCAGTACTAGTATCATTACTCAATGTATACGCCACATCTAATTTACCCTCCCAACATACCTCTCTTGAACGCAAAGCTGCTTCCTTCCTGCAGATGGATCATTTGAATAATCAAAACCAGGATATCAAATAAAGGTAGAAAAGATGCAAAATAACTCAACTTTACCTGCTCAACAATTTAGCTTCCATGCTTACACCTTCTCCAAGGTTAGCAACCTGTGAATGAAGAATTGAACATAAAAATAGCTGAATAAGAAGCAGCACTACCTTCTTGGTGACAAAATTGTGCTAATATTGTTAGAACTATGAAGGAATGTATAAGGCATGATAAAAAGAGACACTAAGTTCTGAACCTCAATGATTCCTGATTTCAAACTATGCAGCTAAGTAAATATGAATAAAAGGATTCACCTGTTTCTCAAGCTCCTTAGCTCTGGCCTCTGCTTGCGCATGTCTTTCTTCAGCAAGGCGAAGCTGTCATACATGCTTATGCATAAATATTACACACAAAATATAACAGTCATATACCTGTGTGTGTGCGTGTGTGTGTCCTAGTATGTATAATAAATGCATGTGCATGTCTGTATTAGAATATAGAAGAGCACACCTTCTCAAGTGCAATCTCATGATCTTCTTGTAGCATATCAAGCTGCATTTATAGTACATGTTAGTATCAAGACTATTGATTCAAAAATTACATTTAAGATTTCACAAATACCAATCTTAAATTCAAGTAATAAAGCATATCCCTAAATACATTTAAAGGTTATCTGCATCTGTTATGAAGAGAAAAATTGATGGCTGCAAATGACATACTCGATCACGAAGCTCAGAAGCTTCACGCTCATCTCCTGGGGCTATTGAGTTGAACTGTCCAATATCTGGCATAAACCTGCCCCAAGAACATATTATATTTATAGCTATACATGCGTCATAAGCTTCGACAACATCAACTAGCTACAAGAATGCAAGCAAAAAACAGCTATCTTATGAACTTGCCTTTTATCTCTGTTTCTACTAGAAGGAGGATCAATTGGAGGTATGGCTATTGGAGTTCTAACCGAGGATTTGCTGGGTGGCACTACCGTCGATGAACGAACAGACATAGAGGGTCTTCCTGCTGCTGTGGAAGGAACTGACGTTGAATTCTCTACACCG